GTTCATAACGTCTGCATCAGCTCCTGCATCAGGTTTGTCACCTAGTGGTGCATCAAGGACATAATTCTTATGTGCAGCAATGAGGATAATCCTCAGATCACGGACCCAGTTCGCATTATTTCTACCATCAACTTTCAACATAGTTTTCTCTAGGAACGCATTAAAAATACAAGGGAATGGTAACACGGGACATTGATGTACAACATAGATATGCAAATACTATCAAGACTAAGTTCATGATAAATTAAGTTCAATTAATCAAATTACTAATGAACTCCAACTTAAATAACATCCCTCAAGTTATCTAAGTGATACATGATCCAAATCAACTAACCCATGTCCGATCATCACGTGAGATGGGGTAGTCATCAATGGTGAACATATCTATGTTGATCATACCTACTATATGACTCACGTTTGACCTTTTGGTCTCTAGTGTTCTGAGACCATGTCTGTACATGCTAGGCCCGTCAAGTTTAACCCAAGTATTATGCATGTGCAAAACTGTCTTACACCCGTTGTATGTGAACGTAGAGTCTATCACACCCGATCATCACGAGGTGCTTCGAAATGACGAACTTTGGCAACGGTGCATACTCGGGGAGAACACTTTTATCTTGAAATTTAGTGAAGGGACCATCTTATAATGCTACCGCCGTTCTAAGCAAAAATAAGATGCATAAAGGATAAACATCACATGTAATCAAAATATGTGACATGATATGGCCATCACCATCTTGTGCTTTTGATCTCCATCTCCAAAGCATCGTCACGATCTCCATCATCACCGGCTCGACACCTTAATCTCCATCATTGTGTCGAGGTCGTCTCGGCAACTATTGCTTTTACAACTATTGCTAACGCATAGCGATGAAGTAAAGCAATTGCATGGCGCTTGCATTTCATACAATAATTAAGAGACAACCCTAAGGCTCTTGCCGCTTGTCGATATTACAAAACATGATCATCTCGTACATCAATATATATCACATCATATCTTGACCATATCACATCACAACATGCCCTGCAAAAACAAGTTAGACATCCTCTACTTTATTGTTGCAAGTTTTACGTGGCTGCTACGGGCTTCTAGCAAGAACCGTTCTTACCTATGCAAAAACCACAATGGTGATTATCAAGTTTGCTGTTTTAACTTTCTTCAAGGACCGGCCGTAGTCAAATTCGATTCAACTAAAGTAGGAGAAACAGACACCCGCCAGCCACCTTTATGCAAGATAAGTTGCATATTAGTCGGTGGAACCGGTCTCATGTACGTGGACATATAAGGTTGTTCCGGGCCGCTTCATCCCACAATATCGCCGAATCAAAATAAGATGTTGGTGGTAAGCAGTATGACTATCACCGCCCACAACTCTTTGTGTTCTACTCGCATATCATCTACGCATAGACCTGGCTCATGATGCCACTGTTGGGGAACGTTGCATGGAAAACAAAAAAAATTCTACGCTCACACAAGATCTATCCATGGAGATGCATAGCAACGAGAAGGAAGTGTGTCTACATACCCTCGTAGACCGTAAGCGGAAGCGTTTACTAACGCGGTTGATGTAGCCGAACTTCTTCGCGATCCAACTGATCAAGTACTGAACATACGACACCTCCGCGTTCAGCACATGTTCAGCTCAGTGACGTCCTCGCCTTTTTGATACAGCAAGACGGGCGAAGTAGTGGATGAGTTCCGGCAACACGATGGTGTGGTGACGATGGTGGTGATGCTATCTCCACAGGACTTCGCCTAAGCACTACGAAAATATGACCAAGGGACAAAACTGTGGAGAGGGGCGAAGCACACGGCTAAGAGATTGTCGTGTCCTTTATGTGGTGCCCCCTCCCATATATATAGTGGGGGGAGAGGAGGGGAGGCATCCTAGGGATCCATAAGTGGCCTGCGGCCACCTGGGCCTTACCCTAGCCGCGCCCCCTTGCCTTTCTTAGGCGCGTGGGGAAAGGCAGGAAAGGATGGTGCCCCCCTTTCCTTTCTCCCATGAGAAGGGAAAGGCAAGAGGGGCCAACCCTCCCCTTTCCATCCCCTAGGGCCGGCGGCCAGGGTGAGGGGCGCACCAGCCCCTTGTGGGCTGGTGTGTCCCCTCTTTGGCCCATTAAGCCCATATAGCCTCCCGGGGCTTCCCGGAAACCCTTCTCGTGATCCGATGACTACCCGGTACCTCTCGAAACTCTTCCGGTGTCCAAATATCATTGTCATATATATCAATCTTTACCTTCGGACCATTCCTAAGCTCCTCGTCATGTCCGTGATCTCATCTAGGACTTCAAACAACATTCGGTCACCAAATCACATATCTCATATAACACTATATCGTCAACGAACGTTAAGCGTGCGGACCCTACGGGTTCAAGAACTATGTAGACATGACCGAGACACCTCTCCGGTCAATAACCAATAGCGGAACCTGGATGTCCATATTGGTTCCTACATATTCTATGAAGATCTTTATCGGTCGAACCTTATGACAACATACATAATTTCCTTTGTCAATCGGTATGTTACTTGCCCGAGATTTAATCGTCGGTATCTTCATACCTAGTTCAATCTCGTTACCGGCAAGTCTCTTTACTCGTTCCATAATACATCATCTCGTAACTAACTCCTTAGTCACTTTGCTTGCAAGCTTCTTGTGATGTGTATTACCGAGAGGGCCCAGAGATACCTCTCCGATACACGGAGTGACAAATCCTAATCTCGATCCATGCCAACTCAACAGACACCTTCGGAGATACCTGTAGAGCATCTTTATGATCACCCAGTTACGTTGTGACGTTTGATACACAAAGTATTCCTCCGGTATCCGGGAGTTGCATGATCTCATAGTTGAAGGAATATGTATTTGACATTAAGAAAGCAATAGCAATAAACTGAACGATCATATGCCAAGCTAACGGACGGGTCTTGTCCATCACATCATTCTCCTAATGGTGTGACCCCGTTATCGAATGACAACTCATGTCTATGGTTAGGAAACCTTAACCATCTTTGATCAATGAGCTAGTCTAGTAGAGGCTCACTAGGGACACGGTATTTGTTTATGTATCCACACATGTATTTAAGTTTCCGGTCAATACAATTCTAGCATGAATAATAAACCATTATCATTATTATGGAAATATAATAATAACCATTTTATTATTGCCTCTAGGGCATATTTCCACCAGGACGAGCCATGATCGCCGAAGTAGTAGGCGAGGCAGCCGTGAGCATTGGCGATTGTTGGGCAGGGCGGCTCCTCCTTCACGCTGGGTGCCATTGGTTCCTGGATTACCGATGGGGCGGTGACAGCAACGCCACCTCCTTGTGGCAGCGGAGGCAGCTACCAGTAGGGACATTGACTCTTCCTTGATGCGGCGTTCGATTTGAATGTCGCGGTTGTGCGGGAACGTCAGCGGCGCGGGACCACGATCATAGCATGACCACTCGAGTAGCAACTCTGTATGATGTGCGAACTCTGGCGTCCTAGATTTGGGCTGAATATGAGGGGGCGCCGGACAGCCAAACGTTTGGGGCGAGTTCGAGGCACCCGACTGGGTCAGATTTTTTTGACCAATCAATTATTGGTCCGTCCGTCTGGGTGTTTGGGGCCAGTTTGAGGCGCCCGAGGGTAGATTCTCTGACCCCTTTCAAGTCTGGTTTTGATTTCTACGGACATTTTTTACAAATGTATTTTGTAACACATTACAGACGCAATCGCTCATATGTACGTGCATACACTCACCCTTCACCCATATGAACCCACACACTACTCCTATGAGCACCTCCGAGAGATTGAGTCGGCATATCATTTTGAGATTTTTTATGTAGTCACTGTAGATGCCTCGTAGCCAACAGGAACGTCTCCTCTCACTGAACGCGTATTGCCGGAAATCCTGAAATAACCCAAAATAAATGCGAGCACAAGGATTTGAACCCTAATGGACGTGGATATCATTATCCTCTAAACCATTCAACTACAGGTTGGTTCGCTTTTACGGATGTCATTGGATGATAAACATAAAATAATTCTAAACATTTAGATGATTTGGTGATTCGTGCTGGAGTTGCACTTATAGACGAATGTCTTGAAATAGTAATGTGGACGATAGTGAAAAAAATAGTTCGCCGGTACTGCACCGTCCATGAACCAAGCAGGCGCGAGCCAACCTGTGGTTGCATGGTTAGAGGAACAGTAGTATCCCTGGCCCATTAGGGTTCAACTCCCTACGCTTGCATTAAGGGCTGTTTGGTTCCCAACCACAGTTTGCCAAGCCAAAATTTGGCAGCCACAGTTTGCCAAGCATGTGTTTGGTTTTTGCCACACTTTGACTTGCCACACTTTATTGCCCCTACGGCCCACTTGTCAAAAAGATAATTTTGTTGCCAACATTTGCCAAAGTTTGGCGTTCAATTTCTTAGCCACACTTTGGCTTGGCCACACTAGTTTCCAACCAAACATACCCTTATTCTTGGATTTATTTTAGTATTTCCGCGATGCGCTTTCAGTGGGAGGAGACGTTCCCGTCGACGATGAGACGTCTACGGTGACTTCATAAATCTAAGATGATATGTCGGCTCGGTCTTTCAAAGGTGATCATAGGAATAGGGTGTGCGTGTGTGTTCATAGAAGGAGTGTATGCGTGTATGTATGAACGTTTACATCTGTACTATGTTAAAAAAATTGAACCAAGCAGGCAAGAACAAATGCGTTTGGACTTTTTTTTTGAAAGACATCAAATGCGTTTGGACTGACATCTGGCAGAAGCGAACGGTTCACGCCTACCGTCCAGAACTTTGGGCTGGCGGACCCCGCGTGTCACTGAGCCGAGACATTCACGCCCAGTACAACAATAATTCAACCCGCCTTGGATTCTTTTTACTAGGCAGTGATTGGGCACACCCTTCTATAAACGGGACCCAAGGGACGCAGTTTCTCATCGCCCCGTCCAAAACCTTTCTCCTTCTGTCCCGCAAACCCCCGAGAGATCACAGCATGTTCGGCTTCGGTCACCACGGCCACCATGGCCAGAACCCCCCGGCCCACGCTCCGGCCGCCGCCGGAGGCAACCAGCCCACCTTCAAGATCTTCTGCAAGGCCGACGAGGGCTACTGCCTCTCCGTCCGTGACGGCAACGTCGTCCTCGCCCCGTCCAACCCCCGTGACGAGCACCAGCACTGGTTCAAGGACATGCGCTTCAGCGCCCAGATCAAGGACGAGGAGGGTAACCCCGCCTTCGCCATCGTCAACAAGGCCACTGGCCTCGCCGTCAAGCACTCGCTCGGCCAGTCCCACCCGGTTCGTCATCTTCTCTTTCCCCTGTCTGGTTCTCCCTTTTTTTTTTCTTTCTTTCTTGAGAAAACATCCCCCTGTTATGGTTGAACTGTTCGTCCGTTCGGTTTACGAATCTAGATTCGTTTTAGTGCTTATCAGTAATGGAAGTGGAATGATTTATTTGGGTGTGCAGGTGAAGCTCGTACCATTCAACCCGGAGTACCTCGACGAGTCCGTGATGTGGACGGAGAGCGGCGACGTCGGCAAGGGCTTCCGCTGCATTCGCATGGTGAACAACATCCGCCTCAACTTCGACGCCCTCAACGGTGACAAGGACCACGGCGGCGTGCACGACGGCACCACCGTCGTTCTCTGGGAGTGGGCCAAGGGCGACAACCAGAGCTGGAAGATCCTCCCCTGGGGCGAAGAGGCCTACGCCGGAGGCAGCGCCAACGCCCCCCGCGGCGGCTCCTCAGAGCCCACCGTGCGCATCTTCTGCAAGGCCGACGACGGCTTCAGCGCCACCGTCCGCAACGGCACTGTGGTCCTCGCGCCCACCAACCCCCGCGACGAGTACCAGCACTGGTTCAAGGACATGAGGCACAGCAACCGCATCAAGGATGAGGAAGGCTACCCGGCCTTCGCCCTCGTCAACAAGGTGACAGGCGAGGCCATCAAGCACTCCCAAGGCGAGGGCCACCCTGTAAGCAACCATCCAAGCCACTCAGATCTTTTTCGATTCATTCGTCACTTGCATATAAATTGTGGTGCCATTGCGGTAAGATCTGAGAGCTTGAGACTAAATGATTAACAAGAACTGTTTGGTTCGCTGTTGCTGTTGGATCCAACAGGTGAAGCTGGTGCCATACAACGCCAACTACCAGGACGAGTCAGTGTTGTGGACTGAGAGCCGCGACGTGGGCGCCGGCTTCCGGTGCATCCGCATGGTGAACAACATCTACCTCAACTTTGACGCTCTCCACGGCGACAAGGAGCACGGCGGCGTTCGCGACGGCACCTCCCTCGTGCTGTGGAAGTGGTGCGAGGGCGACAACCAGCGCTGGAAGATCCTCCCCTGGTGTAAGTGCCCCCTCACTCGCTCCCATTTGCTTGCTAGTGGAGAACTTAACTTCTCCATCTTCGCCTAACACTCACAACATCTCCATAAACTGGTGGAGTAGTCGGTAGAAGCGGATGGAGTTGGCTTATCTGCCATCTTTTGAATTATTTGCGTTCCCTTTTGGCAAATATATTAATGTGTTTTTATCGTTGCTTGCGTTTGCAGAAACGTGTCATGCTGCTGAAGCTGAGTTGATCGCCACCGTGACCCGGAGTTGGTAGAGATCGGCCTGTGATCTGTTGCCGTGTCGGTAGAATAAAAGTCGTGTGCGGTCGGCGGTGGTGATGTGTCCGTGAGTGTGTGTGTTTAGTTTCTGTCCTGTCGTTGTGTCCTGCTATGGCGAGCTATCCGATGTAATAAGCATTTGGCACTTGTGCTTGTTTTTCAAACCATGGATCCGTGATGAGAACCTCTGTACTGTGGTGCAATCCTTTCATCTATGCGAATGGTCTTTATTGTCTATATCAACCCACACCGATCCAAATATGTTTGGATTTCATACAAACCGGACGCAAATTCAAGTTATACCCATTTTACTTTAATTTTGCTACTGCCTATCTATACTCCTATATATAGTGTGTGAAGAACTTTAAAAGTTGGGAGTATAGTGTGTGCCTATCTATACTCCTATATATAGTGTGTGGAGAACTTTGAAAGTTGGGGTGTGAAGAACTTTAAAAGTTGGTCGTTGGATGAAGACAATTCGACGATACAGAAATGGCAAATTCGAGCACTACTGGCTGTTGGGTATCATCTATATTTTACTAGATCCTACACAAGTACAAGTTATAAGACTAAAAGTACTTTTCCTTTGTTCTAAAGTCTTCCACATCTTAATTGCCCAAACTTTTTTTTTAATGAATTGTCACTTTTTATGTTTAGGCTGGTTTCTCATTGATCATAAGCAGGGAGCGGATGGAGAAGTGACAAAGGCGATGATCCGAAGATCAAGGATATAATAAGAAGAAAGAAAAAGGAAAGTGCCGAAGGCACTACCCTAGGCCAACTACTCAGGACGGGTCCCCGAAGGGGCTCTGCAAGAACCGAATGCCACAATGTTGCTAGAGGCTAAGATTTCGCCGGATTGCGCTAAGCACCTCTCTTTCATCCGCTTCCTTGTCTCTGAAGGGGCCATTGTTTCTTACTTGCCAAACTTTCCAGAGAGCTAACTTGACTAGCGATTTTATTCCTTTCCTGAATGCTGTTTGGGTTGCTTCCACCATGGTTGCAACCCTCTCCAGTGAGCTGGTGTTGTGGCTCCAAGTCGCTGGTTGACACGCATGGCAGTGCTGCCAAGTTGCCAAGTTGATCCAAATAGCCTTTGTGAAGCTGCATTCCCAGAACAAATGTTCAGCACTCTCCAGATTTCTTCGGCATAGTTGGCAGAAATAGCTGTTACTCCATCCTTCGCGTTGAAGGCGATCATTGCACCACAGGCGATCCTGATGGAGAAGCGAGGCAAAAATTTTGAGCTTTGCCGGAGCCCAAGTGTACCAGATGATACTACAGAACTGGCTGATCGATGATCCCAGGAATTGGAGCGCATATGCCGAGCGGGAGCTGTATTTCCTAGAGCCTTCAAAATTCCATCGGACCTGGTCATGTACATCCACCTGGAGGGTGATATGCAGCTGATGTATCTGTCGATGTAGGGAAACTGCATCTTGAGGCAGGGCACTACTGTCGCCATGCGCGAGGTCCGCGATCCATTGGTCAGAAGCAATGGCTTGGGCCACCGTTCTGTTCTTTATTCGTGAGTGCGCGAACAGGGTTGGAAAGCTGAGCTTCAGTGGCACCGAGCCCAGCCAGTTGGTGTGCCAAAAACTTGCCATCTGTCCGTTGCCGATGGTCACTATCGTGGCAGCGTTGAAGAGGGCGTGGTCCACAGCGTCACAGGGCATCTGCGATCCCACCCATGGCCGAGGTGGTTGCTGCCAGGATTGCCATAGCCAACGCAGGCGGAGGGCTCGACTAAATTTTTGCAGGTTCAAAACTCCAAGCCCTCCCAGCTTTATCGGGGAGCAAACCCGATGCTAGTTCACCTTATAGATCCCCCAGAGAGCTCTTGATCCTTCCCCCAGAGGAAACATCGCCTACTTTTGTCGATCTCCTTCAACAACTTCCTTGGAAATTTGAGGGCAGTCAGGGCAAAAGTTGGCAGGGCAGAGAGCACATACCGGACCAGGACACGACCGGCGATGGTGAGCATATGTCCTTTCCAACCAGCGAGTCTGGCTCTGATGCGATCCAGGATGAACTGAAGATGGACCAGACGAATCCGACCGACGACGAGGGGGAGCCCCAAGTATCTGATCAGAAAATGAGTTGTTGGCCCGCCGAAGGACTGAAGCACTGAAGCCAGGTCGATGCCGTCGCAGCTGATCGGCGTGGCCGTCGATTTTGCTGTGTTAATCCGTAGTCCAGTGGCATCACCGAACCCTTTAAGAATGCACATCAAGTGGTCGATCTCCTCTTTGTCGGGATTTGCGAAGATGATCGCATCATCGGCGTACAGGCTGACCCTGAGTTTGATTTCTCTGCCCAGAACCGGGGTGATGTCGAGCACCTCTTTAGCAGCTTGGAGCATGCAGTGGACGGGGTCGATGGCGATGATGAACAGAAGTGAGGACTGAGGGTCGCCCTGCCTAAGTCCCCTCCTATGCTTAATTTTCCTGCCTGGTGACCCGTTGAGAAGGAACGCTGACGAGGATGTGGATAGCATAAGCGTGATCCAGTCTTGCCAGTGGGCACTATAACCTAGCCTTGTCATAAGCTCGAGCAGGTACTCCTAGGAGACATTGTCGAAAGCCCTAGAGATGTCTAGCTTCAGAAGCACTGCCGGTGTTTTTGTATGATGGAGAGTGTCGGTGTCAAAACCGGCGGATCTCGGGTAGGGGGTTCCACGCAGTGCGTCTTAGGATCGATGGTAACAGGAGACAAGGGACACGATGTTTTACCCAGGTTCGGGCCCTCTCGATGGAGGTAAAACCCTACGTCCTGCTTGATTAATATTGATGATATGGGTAGTACAAGAGTAGATCTACCACGAGATCAATGAGGCTAAACCTTAGAAGCTATCCTATGGTATGATTGTTGTTGTATCTCTATCGACTAGCCTGGCCCCGGTTTATATAATGCACCAAAGGCCTAGGATAACAAGAGTCCTAGCCGAATACGCCGGTGGGGGAGGAGTCCTTGTCTTGATCGCCAAGTCTTGTTGATTCTTCCTTATATACGGCAGCTGTCCGGACTGGCCCATGAGTATACGGCCATGGGGGTCCTCGGCCCAATCCAACTGATCGGGAGACGACGCGTTGAGTACCCCCTAGTCCAGGACACCGTCAGTAGCCCCCTGAACCGGTCTTCAAGTTAGGGACGCTCCTCGATTCTTTCGAACTGTTCTTCATCTTTGGTTGCCGGTCTTGAAAACTGGTTCAACAAATCTTCTCATCTTCTATCTTGAGGATCGCCGAAATGCATTCGACGAGTTTACACGTTGGGTATCCAAGGAGCCCCTTTAAGTTTACGGCCTTTATCAATGCCTTGTTATTTTTATGCCATGCCTCGGGTTTGAGGTTGTTCCCGGGCGGCAACGTCCTCTTGCGTCCGAGCTCCAACGCCAGACTGCATTCGAGGTATCTTTTGCAGCCGAGCACCAATGCCGCACTGCTTCCCAGCTCTAACGCCGGACTATGTATCCGAGCTCCAACGCCGGATGGTATCCGAGCTCCAACGCCGGACTATGTATCCGAGCTCCAACGCCGGAAGTGCCCTCTATGGAGCCAACCACTAGCGTCCGAGCTTTACGCCGGACTGCTTTTGAGGTGGTGCACCACCCCGAATGTGGGCCGATTTTTGTCAATATTTTTGATTGGTGCCAGTAGCCCTCAAGGTGGGTATCGGTCTAAAACCCGAGATGCACATGAAGGATGACATAAGACCGCTGATCCCCGTAGCCGCTGAGACTCATGTTGATTTGCAAAATCGGTCTGAGGATCAAGTCCTAGCTCGGCAGAATACCTCGGGACACAAAAAGCGGCGTGCTCAGTCCTCGAGACTCGGGTTGGGTGCGGTCGACCAACTTGAGGATCAAAATCTCCTCGGAAATTGTATTGCACTTAAAATTTTGTGCATAGAACAGGCAATGCAGTAGCCCCCGAGACACTGGTCGGGTGGCAACACCAGACCAGGGGATCGATGTGCCCCTTTAATATTTGTAAATAATAAGCCCGAAGCCCAGTAGCCCCCGAGCCTTAATGCAGGCACGGGAGGCTGAATTAAGGATCAATATCCATAGTAAAATCACAAATTATGTGTAATGACTCTATGTATCCAAGTACTTTACATCATTAATGCTCGGATCCGCATTGTACAAAACTTTGTTGACCGACCATCGGCTTCCACCTCCTCAGCCAATAGCCGAGGAGTGTTTGTCCTTACTTTATAAAGCCTTTATGAGGGCAAAAATTTACAACAAACAAGGCAATCTGGCCATACGGTTTTATAAACAAAGGTATGCGGAGAGACATGTTCTATTACTGTTTAACAGAAGAAATGTCTTCCAAAGAAAATAGTCCCGCTATCGGTTACTTTCTTTGAGTTGTCATGCTAAGCATGATCATGAAACCTCAGCCCCAATATAAGAGCAAAATATCAAGGATTTAGTTTGAGAGACCAGTTAATAGCCCCCGGTAGTGTTCGGCGACAGTCGAGGTCAGGCCGTAAACACTTCGGCCGTTGTTATGAATGGCCCGTCGTTTAACGCCGTCATCGGATTGCCAACCAGTTTACGCTTATTGTGGCAGTCAGTTTTCGGCTTTCTCCACTGAGGTGCTTAACCATGTGAGCTGGAAGCACAATCACAGTGGTTCTCCCTTTGCACACCTAGCCGAACAAAGCGGAACATAGGAGGCAAGCGCAGGAGCCGGGCAACCCAACTATTGACCGAAGACACAATTCGAAACCAATGCATATATAGCAATATCCGAGAATTTTTTTGCCGGATCTCTAAAGGTGTCCGGCGTTGCA